TCAGCCCGGTGCTGAACAAAGCCCTGCTCAACCTGGAGCCCAGGAACGTCCCACAGGAAGTTTTTGCAACTTTTCAAGCTCTTACCTCGGAAAATAATGTTACTAAACTCATGCGAAGGATTGAAGACCAGATGTTCAGCCATCGCATCACCCTCGGATGTTACAAAGAGACAAGAGGAACACGACAGCTTTAAACCACTGGAAGGAGAAAAAAAAAGAAAAAAAAAAAAAGAACAGAACAAGGGAGAACTGAGCTCAGCATCGGTATCAGATATGCAGACACGTACATCCCCTCACTAACTATTAGGACAGGGAGGGTGGATTAAAATGATCTCTAAGGTCCCTTCCAGCCTGGGCCATTCTAGGATTCTATGAAAAAAAAAAAAAGTCCCTGTCCAGCACCCACAGGCAGCGTCCCCACCCCAAACATCAAGTCCCACTGGAAGGTGGCAGGAATCTCAGGAAATCCCTCTTAATTCCACGTGTTTTCTTGTGCGACAAGAAATAAATCGAGCTTCTTCACAAGCAAAAGAACAGAACTGGAAGATCAGAAAGTGAATGCCCATTAAACTCCCGGGTGGTTAAAAGAAGGTGACAAGTTTTCCATTACCAGGCAGTATAGTTTTTAAACAAAGCCAAGTATTTTGGACTCTTCCGAGGAACATGGTTGCTGTAAGACAAAAAACGAACAAGAAAGGTCAGAACTATTCTGGGTATTTAAAGAGCTACATGCAAAATACAGCACATCTCCAAAGCCAGACCCAACCCTGGTTCTAGTAATACTTTGTGTGCCAGTCTTGCATTCAAGGAAATTAAAACTGTTTAAATATTAAAAAACAAAATAAATCTGTACAAATAATGTTTAAAAATGCCCAGAATTTGGAGTAATTGTTCTGCCTTCCTGTTCCCTGGTCTGTGCACACCACAGGCTTCTACAAGTGATTCCCTCCCCCATTTAAAAATTATTAAATCTCCATTCAAACAGCACCACCCACGTGTGCCCTATAAACACCCGACAGACCGACCGACCGACCCGAGGTGGTGCCGCGCTCCGGCCGGCGGGATTTCTGCCCGCTACGTACTTGATCATGTGGTTGGCGTAAGCCCTGGAGCAGCAGGTGCTGTAGCGGCACAGCGAGCAGTGCACGTAGGTGGGGAAGTGGTTTGGGAAGTCGGGGATTTCGAAGCTGCACTCCAGGCAGGTCTGCCTCCCCAGGACGCTCCTGAAGAGAAGAAGAGGGATCGTTTCGTCAGTGCCGCTGGAGCGACAACAACCACCGGGACAGCAAAGGGTTTAACGAGCGTCAGCCGTGGGAAACCTGCGCTCAGACCAGCTTCCCGCGGTGCCCCAGTGCCAGGCTAAGCCTCTCCCCGCCCTTGCTGCGGGCAGGAGTCTACAACTGCAGAGTGCATCAAAAATAAATAAACAAAAAATAAAATCTTGAAGGCAAGGCAGCAGGACAGAGGGTGGGCAGGAGATGCCGCTGTCTCCGTATCAGCGCCTGGCTAATCCTCGGCTTTGCGGTTTCACCTTAAGGGCTTTCGTAACACAACTTAATCCTGGTTTTGTGGGAAATGAGACTCTCCCGGCGTCAAGTTCCCCTGGCAACTGGTGAGACCGAGCTGCCCAGTGCCCGGGATCCTATTACCTGTCACTGTGCCATTACAACGCTAACTACGCTTCCTTTAAAAAAAAAAAATCTATCTTTTTTAGTTTGAAATTTAGCAAAACGCTCTGACATTTTTTTGACCGCTCTCTTCTGGACGTTCCTCTGGACGGGCGGGTACAGGAAGATGGGCTGGGGGTCGGCAGAAGACGACAGCGGCGCGGTTTCCTGCCCCACGCCCTGC